GGCTCAATCAATCCTCCCCCCTCAGCCTCGTGAGTAGCTGAGACTACAGGTGCATGCCACCACACCCAGCTATTTTTTTTTAATTTTTATTTTTTGTAGAGACAATGTCGTTCTATGTGGCCCAGGCTAGTGTCAAACTCCTAGGCTCAAACAATTCTTCCACCTTGGCCTCCAAAAGTGCTAAGATTACAGGCATGAGTCACCATGCCTGGCCCCCTCCAGGGACTTTTATATGACTCATGTGAATTCCAATTAATCTAATTCAAGAGAAGTTGGCTTTCTAGAAGCAATTTTATATCTGTGGTAGGTGTGCAATCATTCATTCATTTATACGCTCATTTAACATTTGTTCAGCATTGTGCTGGGCTCTAAGAGCACGAATAAACAAGGCTTGGACCCTGCCCTCAGGGAGCTCTGTGTCCGGTGCAACCTTGAACTCCGTTCAGACCTGCTGGCCACACACCCTATACTGGTGATCTGTTACGTGGTCTCCCCACCGGACTGAACATTCCAGTTTATAAATGTTCATTGACTGATTAATTGTGTCTCTAGCCTCAGCCTCCACTTGGATTTGAAAGACTAAATGCAACAATTTCATTCCCACTGTGTCCTGTTTTGTGCATAGTCCAGAAGTCATGGGGGTAGCAGGAAGGGAGCTGAGCCTTCTTCGTGGGAAGAGCTGCCTTGGGAAGTGCAGGGGAACGGAAAGCGTTAGTCAAGAAAAAGGCAGTGACAGAGCAGAGTCCAACGGGCCTGTGGAGGGGCAGGGAAAAGCTGTAGGCTCTGGAATGGGGTAACCGTGCTGGGGACTGAGAGCTCCAAGACAGGGACCAGGTGAGGGGTTTGTGCTTAAAGCAGTGAGAGCCAGACGGAGGCGGCAGGGAAGCAGCTGGAAACAGGGAAGCAGGGGAGAGAAAGGACTGAGAGGGAGACTTATAGTAGCACACGTGGGCGGATAAAGATGACCAAGAACTCTGACGTGCCCTCCATCAAGAAACGGGGCCTATTAGCACTCCTCTTGACTCTGGCTGGCCTGTGACTGCTGTGGCCAATAGAATACGACAGAAATTGCAGAGTGCAGTGGCACACACCTGTAGGCCCAGCTACAGGATGGCTTGAATCCAGGAATTTGAGGCTGTACTGTGCTGTGACTGAGGCTGTGAATAGCCACTGCACCCCAGCCTGGGAGACAGAGTGAGACCCTGTCACTAAAAAAGAAAAAGAAGAAGGCAGCTGGGAGCAGTGGCTCAGCCTGTAATCCCGCACTTTGGGAGGCTGAAGCAGGTGGATCACCTGAGGTCAGGAGTTCAAGACCAGCTTGACCAACGTGGAGAAAATACAAAAGTAGCCGGGTGTGGTGGTCCATGCCTGTAATCCCAGCTATTTGGGAGGCTGAGGCAGGAGAATCTCTTGAATCCAACAGGCAGAGGTTGCAGTGAGCCAAGATCATGCCATTGCACTCCAGCCTGGGCAACAAGAGCAAAACTCTATCCCCCCTTAAAAAAAAGAAAAGAAAAGAAAAAGGAGGAGGAGGAGGAGAAGGAGGAGGAGGAGGAGGAGTAACAGTATGCCAGTTCCAGGCCTGGCCTTTGAGGAGGCTGACAGCTTCCTCCTGGGTCTCCTGGAGCCTTGAGCAGGTCTATCTTCAACTCTAATCACCATAGACTTGACTGGCCCCTTACCATTGGGCTCCCGGGATTACTCAGTGCTGAGCCTTAATAGGTTAGCACAGACCCCAGCACTGGTGCACTCTTTCGCTCACCCCCCCC